GGGGTAGAGAGGCTGTTTCCGAAAGACCCTCGACTCAAGATGATAAAAAGACAAAAGAAGAGAATATTAGATTCACCACGGAGATCATAGGGAAAAATGAACATAAAATGCAGAAGAAAAATGTAAAGCAAAAATGATGGCTAGTAAATGAATCCTGCGTCAAAAATAGAAAATAGTAAGACACAACATCATCCAAAAATCTTCACTTTACTTGATCAAACAGTGTCCCCCTCTCCCCCTATAGTCGCAAGAAGGTGGTCTACGACCATTAGATCCCTAGAAAGAGGAGTAACTAGGAAGCAGTTAAAACTCATTTTTATTGAAAAGTTGAAGAAAAGGCTTTTCGTCAGAAGTAAGAAAGAACCTATTTATATACACAGCGCTGGAACATTCTACTCTAGAAGGTCAGGTAAAATACCATCATCATAATCAGGAAAAAAACCAAGATTAAGGAAATGGTGAAAAAAGCTAGGATTGAACTTATTTGATATCACTTCCCTTTTTTCTTTCCACTGTAAAATGAATCCTCCGCTCCACTATGACAAGTACAGAAAGATCTATATATATAATAAAATTGGGAAAATGAAAGATGACGTGGCATATTTCTTTGGCCAAGGATTACATTTATCTTTTTTCTTAGATTTTACACCCTTTTCCTTATTTTTGCATTTAAAATTTGCTAACAATTAAGTATGCTTTATTTACCTTTTTCATCATTAATATACTATTCGTCTATTTTCCTATAACGTTTCTATACCTTTCTTCCGTTACATTTTACCCTTCACTTAAATCTCATAATTATTACTACTTATTTCTTTCCTTTAAATCTTTCTATTTTCTTTCTGTGCATTAGCTTTTTTTCCATAACTCAAAAATAATTCCAATGCTCAGGGACTGTTGCAATAAAGGTATTTTGCTCTCCCAGAAATCTAATTCTATTCCTATATTATTTTGTAACTTCATTTGTTTTACTTGATATCATCTGAAATTATAGTTTGTGTTTATATTCATGTTTGATTTCTTCAATTGCGTTTCCATTTGGATGTAGTAGCTTCAGCCTTTCTTTGTTTTACTTCCCTCTTTAAGAGTGAAAATAAAAATGGAGAACAAGAGACTATGGTTAGCCAAAAATTGATAGAATAATATCAGGTATGTCACTGTTTTTCTTTAAAATAATTTGGTAATTTACTTTATAGTTGTGGCAAGTAATTCGATAATTCCTTTTTAATTTCTCCATGGAAAGGGAGAAGCAAAAAATATGTTGTAATTATGTAGTGACGTGAAAGAGTAATCTACATGTGGTTCTTTGCTTTTTCTATCTAGTGCAATAGGTTTCTCAAGTTTTGTAAATTTCTGATATAGTGAAATGTAGTAAAACTAAAGAGAACACATTTCTTTAAAAAAAAGTTGATTATTTATAGATGTAAATGTTATATAAAAAATTCAGGTACCAAAATATTTTTGGCTTATTATCCATAAATGTAAATAGAATGGTTGTTGTAGTTTCAACCTTTTATATTCTATATTTATGGACCGTTACAATTTGTAAATTGAAACGGAAAGAGTATTTATAAAGAATAAAGAATTCCTACCGTTACAATGGCTTTTCTACCTGCAAGTTTCTTCCTTTATCCTCTAACCATTCATATTGCTTCTTCAATTCTCATTTCCATTAAGAATATGTAGAGTTCAGCTTTTACATTGGCTATGTTTCAACTTTCTACTAAACTTAGACTCATTTTTCTTTTGGGAATTACTATTTTATAAGTGATATTCTTGAAAAGAAAATTAATTAATTTTGTTTAGGTTTCGATATATGTGATAACAGAAAGCGCCAACATTAAATTATTAAAATAAGATTATGAGAATGATATTGAAAATAAATTAATGATACCACTAGGCATTAGCTCTGTTGCAAGATGTATGAAGTCGGGTAAGATGACTTCAAATTCAATGAGTTGCTCAAGTTTAACGAGCAATTTTGTGAGGTTGAATATTTTTTTTAGAAGTATAAAAAATGCATATTACATACATATATACATGTCTATTATATGATTATGAAGATTTTGTGCTAGATATTGCACATTAAAATCTAAAAAATGAGATTTAAATATTTGAGAAAGAACAAGCAACCTTGAGAAATTATTTATTTAGGGCTTATCGATTTGGTCGAAGAGTACCACCTCCGGCATCACCAATTGGAGGTCTTAGAGACATGCGACCGTAAAAACTTTTGTATATTTAATTTTCTTATAAATTTTTTATATTTTATTTGTTGTATTGCATTGGGTTTAATATTTATAGAAATTTAGATGGTATGGAATAATAGATTCACTAGTTTATTAATATAACTGGCCGGTCAAAGGTAAAATCTATATACAGCAATAGCTTCATTAACATCTTTCAGTTTACACCAAACTTCTTTCCTTCACAAAACACCTTCTTTCCTTCAGTATTACACACAACACACATACTGGAACTGTGTTCACTGCTTTGCTTCCTTTAAGGTCTCTCACTGTCCAAATCCATAAATGTTCTTCACAGTAGCAGGCAAAGCACACCATAACTAGCATAATTTAAGCACATAAACCTATGCAAATAAAATAGAGTACCTCATCTTTTGCATCTATTTCTGTGCCTATATCATTACTTCTATTTCCTTGGAGAACATATGCCTGTTAAATTGTGACATTTAGACTAACTACACCAGTCAAAACTGGAATGATCGAAGTTAATGACTTCTCAAGATTTTGCAGATAAATTTTAAACATCATGGAGTTGGCATGCGTGCAAAATAAAAAGATTACACTGCCCATCAGAAATGTGTGTCAAACTAGAGTACATCTGCAGAATTCTCAACAGCTAAAACTAAAAAGATACTTAAATATCACTTAACACCAAGGAATAGATTCCAGGTCACACCTATAAAGTTGAACTTCGTCAGTATTAGATTGCACCCATTTGCGCCTTTGACCATGACATTGTGGATCATAAATGGAAATGGAAACCATATACATAATTACAAATAATGAAGGTCCTTATTAATGTATCAACGAGGATATCTCTGATCTTACTAGACCTGCCGTAATATTTTTAGTAAGCATCTCTGATCTTAGTAGACCTGCCGTAATTTTTTTAGTAAGTGGCATGCAGCATTTAAACTCCATATGATAAAGATGTCACGTGTTTGAAATTGGTCAAAGGTGAAACAAGTAAATAACTGAAAATTAACAATGAAATAAGTTTCTTGAAGATTGCGACTTCATATTACCACACAAAACTGAAAATTTACTCTTTACAAACATCAAGAATAAAAAAGAACTGCTCTATCTTTATATAGTTTATAGCAAAAAGACATCCCAAAGGGAAATCATGACAAAAGTTAGAACTACCCAACAATTTTGAATGATAAACCAGAAACAAATGACTGCAGCGGTAATAGCCAATAAGGTCAAAATAAATCAATGTTGCAGTCAACATTTGGTGAAAGAAATCCATAAAGGAAACAACATGACAATAAGCGACAAAATTGACCAAAAAGGAAGAGATATCTTTCACCACCTACAAACAGGAAAACTTCAAGTGCAAAGACATAAACCGTGCCATTAGCTTGGCATTTAAATAGTGGACAATAATGGTTCTAGAACAAGTTATTGCCCAAAAATATGAACAGAAACTTACTTGTAGTACAAACGACATACCTTCAGCACGTTGAGCTCCAATTTAGTTATTTCTCAGCCATTAATATTCTCATCAATTAAGCAGTGTGGTTCCACTGCTTGCTTGAGGACTAAGTTTCCCAGTAAAATTCAGGTTTGAACTCACAATTTTGTCGGGGTTTTCTCCCTCCTGTAAAATTAAGAAGCCAAAGCTGCATTAACTTTCTTACTTCCGGTTAGGGGTTACAATGAATAATTAGTTAAATTTCAATAAACAAAAAGTTATCTTTCCACAAAGTCCAGATTCCTTGTCATACCAATAACTTCCAGGCTTCTACTTCTGAGGGTTAAAGGGCACCCCAAAAGTTCAGCCATCTCATCAGGCTTCAAGGGAAATCCATAAACAAACAGCTGCGCGCTGGTTTGAGCTGATTAGCAGCACATTCTTTCTCTGCTTGCATTATTTGCTTGATTTCCAAGGGACTGAGAGCAATGCTTGCCAAATTTGAACCTCTTTGACTCATCAATTAGCTCACCTACGAATTTTACACATTTGACCCCTCAGGCATTGAGCCCATTGCTCTTAGCACACAATTGCTGCAGTTTTTGCATTACACACAAGCATTCTCATTACTTCACACATAAACAGAATCTTGATTTCTTTTTCTCCTTCCTTTCCTTGGGAACTCCAACGTACTCTGGAAAAACATTATTCTCAATGTCTACCAGTTTTCTTTCAGCTCTATTAATAGTATTGAAAAGTGACCGTAGAGGCTCTTCTCCCCTCAGTGGTAGAATGTTTTGCAGCATTCTCAGAGACTGTGCTCAGATCCCGGGGACACTGAGGAGGGCCTGAACAAAAAGCAGGTTGCTGAAATTCTTTGATTTGGACTTGATGGACTGATTACATCTGTAACATGAGATATGTGCAACAGAATTTACTCTATAACAGGTGCAACATCCAGGCCTAAAGATCTTCTTGATTCTGATAGAGGTTCTGCTGTAAATGGTAATTGCACCAGAATTCATATTAAGGGGTCCTACTATGAAGCTCTTATAATATATTGGATGACCAGTATACACTAATGCTATTGAGTAACTCTAATGCCATGAGTAATCCATGCTAACGCCTTCCTGAAGGAAGCAACCTCCTCGCCATCTCCCTCCAATTTTTTATTTAGAAAAGAAATAAAGTGGGACAGAACAACTATTCTCCTAGTTGTGTGAAAGGGTGGTGGGAGAGTTTCTAGAATCTTGAAGTACTATTTTGGCAAAATGATTTTCAGCCTTAAATTTTCATAGAATAAGAATATGATCGGGATATAGCAATATGAATAGAAATCACAAAACAATTAGAGCAAGCTTTCTTACAAGATGATCAGAGAATAAACACATTGTTACTTAGACATGAAGAGCTACTAACAAGTCCTTGGATACTAACAAGTACAATCCTAGCCTTGTCTATCAGCAACAAACCAGTTTCAAACATAAATGTAACAGGTGTTAAGTATATTGCAATCAATACAGATAATAGGGATCAAGAATTATCCATAAGAAAAGACAACTCAGCATGCGGAGAGGCTCTTGGAAAGCTTTGGAACTCCTGTTCCATTTTAACATAATCTTGAGAAATATCACTCCCTTCGAATTTGGCTGCAATAACAAACTTTTCTAGCATTGTTGCATTCTTGAGCAAATATTTTACCAATGGTAGTACAGACTTATTTCCACTTAGTGGTCCATCATATTGATGGTCTTCAAATGTAGCAAAGAGAAGTTATAATTATGTGTCTCGAACCTCTTAATGTGTTCATCCTCATTTGTGTACCTTGACAGCAGGTCCTACAAGAAAGAATCCGCTATATTACCTAGCTATTTTCCTTATTATATGGAAGTAAAAAGTTGAGGAGTTGATTGTGGATAAAAATAGGTGACAAATTTTTAGATTCACGGAACATGTAAAGCTGTTAGCAAATGTTACTGACAGGAAAAAAAATGTTAAACAAGATTCATTGTAGCTGATCACTTTTTTAAATTAAAAAAAAGAGCCGATCCTTCTATCTCCTCACATGAAGGTGAGTACTATCTCTTGTTAAACATCTATGTCCTACAACTACCAAAAAAAGTTAAATGTAGAACTGGCGTACTCATTCAATGATTCAATCAATTTTGAGAGTGACAACATCAATTTCTGTCAAAGCAACTCAAGTTGAACTATTTTCTTGAAGAAAGCAAACTGAGAGAACAATAAGGTTCCTCTAAAAGTTTTACATGAAAGGGAACAATAAGTTCTATGATTTTTTTTTCCTAAAGTACTAGATCAAAAATATGCTGATATATATCGTCTTCTTCTTACACCAATAGTTGTTTGAAATTAATAACATGAAGTAACAAAAATAAATGTCTACAGGAAACTTACTCTTCGTTTTTTATTACACCAGTCAATGACCAATGTCTGAAGATCCGGCGAACACTGTAGAAAACTGCAAATTCCAAGGAAGTCCAATTGTTCTAAGGCTGTGTCAAGTTTAAATATTTCCGGCTTGATGGTGGAGATTGCCAGCCTTTCAACTCCAGTATGGAAAGGCACTTATAAACCAAATATGTCAAAACAAGGAAATGCAACACTGTTAATAAATGACATACTGATTCCGGAATGTTTCATAAGAATAACTTGGACAATACGACTAGTTTTTGCCACATCAAAGTGTTCAAGGTTGGTTTGGAAATCTAAAGATGAACCTTTTAAACACTTTGAAGGACCCATTCACATGAGTTAAAGAGCACGATGAAAGTAAATCAATCCAGTTTTATGGGTTATTCTGTCAATTAGGGTTTTCAAAGAATCGAAAAATTGCACCAAACCAAAAATTGAACCAAAACGACTTAATAAACCGGTTTATCTTTTGGCATTAAATTATAAGAGCCCGACAATATTTGGTTTGGTTTAGTTTTAAACAAATAAAAACCAAAAAAGCGAATATATATACATAGTTTATACTAACTCTATAAGTACACTTGTGCTTGATCACCAAATGGTTCAAGTGCTCACAATCTTGGGGAATTTCTTTGTTTGCACTAATACTGCTTTTCAAGCTTTGAAATTTTCTATCGCTGAACATTTAAAGAGGTTTAACACTTGTACTCTTATAATTCGGGGTGTAAAGAGGAAGAAAGTAGTAAGGAAATACAAGATAAAAGAAGTAACAGCAACATAAAAGTATTGATTTTCATCTCTAGTTTCTTGATTAGATTAAAAAGAAAACCCAACATCCGTTGGTATGCAAAACTAACAAGACAATTGGGACAGCGTTCTCGGACTTTAAGTAGTGAACCCAAGGAGAACCCTGTAACTAAGTTTCTTGTTCTTTTATACTTTTGCAGAACTATGGGTATTGCGTCTTAATTGTTGCTAGTAAAGTAGTTTGATTCTTCTATTTATAATAACATGGTGTTTTATGTTTTTATTTGTTTCAACTTGTTTATAGTCCTTTTCCTCTCTTCCATTCCCTTCTTTATCTGTTTTTTATTTCACTAGAATCACTAATCCTATTCTTCTTTTTCCTTCAACTCGGGCACCGAAAATTTTAATGTTTTGGCGCCCAAAACTCTTTCTAACTTTAATGTTCAAAAACATTATATATAAACCAGAAGGAACCGACAAAACCAAAACTGATATATTTGTGCTATGTTCGGTTTGATTTGGTTTAAACATTTAGAATTAATTGGTATGATTTCCTTTTAAGCAAAATTGCACCAAACCGAACCATGAACATCCCTATTATCCATTACAAACTCATTATTTTCACAGTTCATCTTCCCAATTATTGCTCAGAGGTCTAGTTTCAGTCACCTGCCACTGTCCAACCAAATTGGCCATGATAATGTAATTCTTCAATTACCAATATAGTTATCAGATTATACTAAGGAGTGGCATTAATGTTACTAAGCAGATGAATTCAATAAAAAGTCGCAAAACGAAAAAAGAAAATCTGAATTTCAGATAGTGAAGAGTATGAATGAACCTCAATGCCCCAGGGACCCAATTCAAGATCCTCGACATGCGCAACACTATGAAGAAGTTCCTTCAAATAGCTACATTCCTCCTCCGAGTTGCGATCTTCATCTACTATATGGTCAAAATTTGAATATAGTACAGCACTGACGAGTGAAGCCACATCTCTCAAGCATATCTCATCGCATGACCCGAAAAGTTCAAAATATGTCAGGATTCTCATTTTGGTAATCTTTTATGCTCAAATATGCCAGCTTCACAGAGCTGATTTCCAAACGACTAATGCCCAACACATCCAGTTCCAAGCTCTCCAAGTTAGGGCAACCCGATAATATCTTCTCCAATATATTATCCGTCAAATTCGGGGTGGCAATTGAAAGGAAAACGAGACTACTCCAGTTAACAGTACCAAAATGGTTCAGTTCACAGTTAATCAAAATCAAACTCCTCAACGACGTATTCTTATATACGAACTAAGGAAGCTCATATTTAGGGTTAGTACTGCAGCGAAAGCCAAGTGTAAAATCTTCAACATTAGCTACTTTAATTGCAAAATGTACCCATAAATCAACATCTTTAACATAACTCTTGTCGTACCTAAAGAGAAAGCCCCTGAATGTTAGGATTTTATGGCAAGACCTCCAATAATAAAGCTCTCTATTGGTCGAAGCTAAGAAATCATGAATAGGAATCTCTTTTTCCCTGGAGATATGGGGGTGGTCGAAATAGAGTTGTGCTGGAACGGACATCCAAAGAAACTGCCATCGTGTAGATAATATGCTCGTTCTCACAACTGCTTTACTGTCCAGCAACGTAGACAGTATCCGGAGTAGAATCGGGTCGGGCAAGTCACTGAGTCGGTCTCCTGTCGCCATGATTCTCCTCTGCATTTCCTTGGACCTTTGCCAGTTGGTAAAGTTGAGGATAACCTAGGTCAGTTCGTCTAACCGTTGGGACTAAGAAGCCGTTTGGATTGGTTGATTTGAAATATTTGATAAGAATTAGGGGCCAGAAAAAAAACACTTTAGAAACTGATTTAATGAATAAATAGTTACGTATTTGAATACAATTATTAAAATTGATAGGTGCTACGGTATTTGATAAAAAAGTGTTGATAAGTTTTTTTCTGTTAAAATGACTTAGATAATCTTAGAACTATTTACGCTTATAAGGGCGTAATTTCTTTAAAATTTTAGATTTCAAATCGATTCAAATACAAAATATTCTATTTTTAATTTTATTTTAAATATAATTGTACTTAGATAAAATAATTTTTATGATAAATATAATTTATTTTATGACAAGCATATAATCATAAGTTGTATATAATTAATAAATTAACAAAAGTTTCTCAATAAAAAATAAACCTAAATAGGACAAAATATTTGAAGAGAAACAAACACTATCTTCGTCATCTAGAAAGCAATACACCAAAAATTTGATATGTCCTCATTTATTACATACAATTCAAAGATTAATACATAATCACATAGATACAAATATGCAAAAAGAATAGAGAATTTGCTTATCTTAAATAGTTAATGAGAATTGCAGACTTGAAGAAGAGGGGGAGGGAGGGTTGAAATAATACTTGAGGCAATGAGTATCAATGTAAGAGTTTTGTTCTTAAAAAGAATATTTTAAGGATAAAATTGTAAAAATCTTGGTCAAACTTAAAGTGCTTATAAGCTAAAAATTCAAAAGCCGGAGTGACCAGCTTATGACTTATTTTTTTACTTATAAGCACTTGGCTAATAAGCACTTTTAACTTTACCAAACGCGTAGATAAGCCGAAAAGTGCTTATAAACTAATTTGACCAGCTTATAAGCTTAGCCAAACACCCTCTAACTCGAGCGGGCTGACAGCTTATGCAGTCAAATGATTAGACGTTATTTGAAAATTCCTCATAGTTTTAAAATTAATTGTAATTTAGCCACACTTGAAAAGCTAGTCACTAGTAGGGCCGTTCAAAATCGAATCGTAACTGTTAATCAAATCGAATCGATGGTTTATTGGTATCAAGTTATCGGAGTAATGTTTGGCGAATGGATTAAGATTTTATAATTAACGGCTTAACGGTTTGGGGGCGGGTTACTCAATTTTCATATCGGATAAACTGTTAACCCGTTAAGAATTTTTATATCTACTTTATATGAGATTAACAGAAATTACAGGAGTATTATCAGAAAATAAATCTGAAAATGCCTTCAAGTTTTCAGTCAAGTTTTGTAGGTGTAGAGATTTCAATTTTATATAAGTTTTTAGTGAGTTTGACTAGTTTTCAGTCTTTCCCTTTTTTTGATATGAAATAGAATAGCTATGTAACCAAAAGAAATTCTTATAATAAGTACAGTACAACCTATAAATAATTAACAGATTCTATCATGTGGTAACAAATGTTAACAAGCCTAGTAAACTAAAAAGGGGATAAAACTTATAGTCGAGTCACTTAATCAGGTTTGGCCATTTGGCATTCACAAGACTAGGATTGTTCAAAAAATTTCTATTTGATTTAGCCGATAAACCACCCAATAATCGTTAATTCGATATCAATCCGTGTCGTTGTCTTATTAGATGGCTAGCAGATTAAAATCACCTCACGACGGCGGACCACTCCCAAACCCAACCAAATAACTACCCATAATCCTCAGCTCACCCTCATCATCAATCCACCATCTATTTTCCCCAAAACCCCACCGAATTCCTCTAAATTCGAATCTAAGAAACTGAAACCCTAGTTTTTCTCATTTATTCTTTTCTTCTCCTTTGATTGGCCGTTTCAGTCACTCTATTCATCTAACCTTCACGAGTTTTTCATTTCAAGAATATCCGGCCAGAAATTTCAAGCCGGATCTCTTGAAAAAAAAGACCCACTGATGGTTAGGCGTTGAGGGTTTTAGGCGTCACAACTCTTCTCATTCTTGTCGACTCAGAGTTGGCAAGATTATGTTACTGTTTAGTAGCTTAATAACTCTGTGATTCTAATTGAACTGTTTGATCTCAGCATGTTAACTCGAAAAAAGGATCTAATAGTAACTAATTGTGTGTTTGTTAGTTTAAAATTAGCAATCATCAGTTTTTAATTTTCTCTTATTTTTTATTTTTTTATATAGTTGATAGATTAATTTCACAAGCTTGGTTTTGTTCAAATCACTATGTCCATGCCTGTTTCACTTATCAGTTGAAGTGATTAGTTTATTTCTGAGTTTATTGATTTTAATTCATATTATCAACTAATTTAAGTCTGAAAATCAAAGTAAGAAAAAGGGGATTTATGAAAGGATTTAAAGAGGGTTTAAATGGGGATTTGGGTAATAACAGAAATGTTAGGGGATTAATTGAAAATCAAAATCAGGGAGTCTAAGTCTAGAAGTTCCTAGAAGGTTCTAGAAGATTCTCGAAGGGACTAAAGTGTAATAAAACAACTGAAATTAGGTCAGATTGAGTTGAAAAGGTTAATAACAAGAACTTAAAGGGGTTAATTTGGAAGTAAGAATGGATAAGCTTTAGGTAAAAATATTAGAAGTTTCTAGTATTGGACAACTGTCCCTTTTTTTTGGTGTTGAAAGATGCTGAAAATTGATAAAAAGGACAGCTGTGCCAGGTCTGTTGAAAAAGATATTGTACTATCCTTTTTTACAGCTGACATTTCTGATTTTTAGGATAGAATATTCCCCATTATTCTTATCCTTATGCATTTTGCTTATACTCTATAAAAAGGAACCTCACTCCCACTCTCACACACATGTTAATTCTCTACAGATTCACTCATAAAAAGAGAAAAATTCACTCTTGATTTCCTGCTCTTATACTGACTTCTTCCTAAAAAAGATAGCCAGGGATTCCATTTTAATACAAATATGAAGATTTAAGGTTCATCTTGATTTCCTGTTTGTTTATTACTGGGATTTTCTGGATTTCTGGGTTTGAGGTCTTAAGGCTATTGTCTATTTCTCTCTGGTGCTGTATTCTTGCTGCTGTTTCTTCCAGTTTGTTCAGAGACTCATCTTCTTCTTCTCTTTCTTTGTTGCTAGTAAGGTATGTGCTGATAGTTTTTCGAATAATGTAGTTGGTTTTTGAATGTCAAATTGCTTTGAGATTTTAGCTGTTTGTTCACTTCATGTATATTGAATGCTCTTTTCTTTCATGTTTGATTGCGAGTATAAGTTTGATTTAAAGCATCAGATGTGTTGAATGTCTCAAACCTTAATGAAATAAGAAACAAGCGTTAATCAGTTCTTTTTTTAGCTTTTGATTGTAAAGGTATACATGAAGTTCTGAGATTCCCTAAATGTTTGAGGTTTCAGAAGCTTGATAGCATTTTTAGTGTAAAGTCCTCCCCTTTTGAAATCATTTTGTTTGGTATTGCTGGCATTTGGTAATGCATGAGTTTGTGAGTGTTTGGAACAAGGCTCAGATTTGTGAATCTAGCCACTGGTTGGTTAGCTTTTTGCAAATGATAGGCAACTTCAAGAACGTTGCAAAGTTATTTCTAGTTGATCGCACGCAGATTCAAAATCAATTTGATTCTGGCCTATGCAAACTATATTTCTTAATTTAGTTCAAGGACTGTAATTATTTGTAAAAAATGTAATCAGGCCATTTATTACTGGTGAAGTATAAAAAATGTATTCATACCTAATTTAATTCATAGTTGTTTCAGTTCTTTTCTTTATAGCAGCCCAAATATTCTTTTGTTCAGAGTTTGGAAATTGGGCCCATTTTGTTTAAATATGTTTGGGCTAGTACATAGTAATTCGAGATGCTCTAGTTTAGTATATGTCGTTTGTTCATGAGATGTGACTTAAGTAGCTGGTATAATGATCTTGAAAACTATAATCGCTGATGCCTTGATTCAATGTTATCTATTTCTATAACCTCGTTAATCATGTGTTAATATCCAAAAATAACTCGCAACTACTTTCATTGATCTATGTTGCATTACAAAAGAGACTTAGTGTATCATTTCATTTTACTTAACAAATTTCATAACAGATTTAGATTTCATACGTTCTGGACATCCCATGCTTATAAAAAATTTAGGAAAATAATCATGAACATCGTAGTTTGCTTTAGCCACATTCAATAAATTATCGTGGCCATGGGTACAGTTCCCATGGCATGGGCATGATACGTAAATCCCATTCGGGTGTGCATTTCATATAATCCGATCATAACTTCAAACAATAATGAAATACATATGTTGTAGATCGTGGGTACAGTTTTCGTGACACGATTTATAACATGTACAAAAACAAACAAGTGTACAACAATCGTAACTTGTTCCAGAAATAATTTCATAAATATTTAAAAGTGGTATAAAATTAAAAATGCACAATAGGTTCTAAACATGTGATAAATTAGATAATTAGGCCAATTATTAATAGTTGAGCGACCGTGCTAAAACCGCAAAACTCGGAAGCACCTAACACCTTTTCCCAGATTAACAGAATTCCTTACCCGGTCTTCTGTGTTCGCGGAACAAAAATAGAGTCAATTTTCTCGATTTGGGATTTAAAATAAACCGGTGACTTGGTACAGCGATAATTATTTCAAGTGGTGACTCTGAAAAATAAAATAAATAATCCGATTTCGAATAATGTCACTTTAATTAAAAAAACTCCCTACCTCCCTTGGGAAAAAGAGAGGTGTGACAACTCTGGCGATTCTGCTGGGGATTAGAACTCAGAGCTTCTGGTTCAGGATTCAAGAATTCGAGCTTAGAATAATTGTTATACTTGGCTTTTATTTATTATCTGATTTTCATTACATGTTGAGCCTGATGTGCTAAATGCCCTTTTTTACCACTTTGATATTGTTTGAACTGTATATAAACTGTTGTAAAACCCTTCTTCTCGATGAGTCTTCTAAATCTTCTGGGATGTGCACGCTGACATGACTTCTTTTCTGTTAGAGTCATACCATAATTTAGAACGAGGCATAGATCAGTTACAAAGTCGGA